AATTACTTATTACTCTACAGATTCTAAAACTGGAGGTAGAAAAAGTTGCAGCCCAACGTTCATTCCTGTTTCTTTGGTGTGGCTCACACGAAGGGCTTAATGAAGGGAGAAAGGTATAATTTACATAGACTGAATTTCAACCATCTCCTCAGGTCAGTCACTCACTTTCTGTTGGAGGGTGCTACTCAATGAGAAATTCACTGGCTATTGGTAGTGAAAATGCAAAATTAGTAATGAAAAAGTCATTAGTGTACTTTAAGAAGAGAATTTTTTGTGAACAATGATTAACAGTCATGTATAAATAAAATTTAATTTTCTCAATTTAATTACACAGATGATCAAAAAAGGAAACAATAAATGATATCTACAAAATTTAGTTTTTACAGAAAACTAAATGTTCCTTAGTGAATAAGTAAGGAATTACCTCTCATCCCTGGAGTTGTTTCAAAATCTTCTGTGCTGAAGGGAACTTGCATAGTGATATGTTTACTTCTTAACTGCACTTCATGCCGTTAACTTCTTTTCCCGTGAATAGTGTTTAAAGAAGTGGGGCTTTCGTCGTTGTGAGGACATTTGCTGGATCAAAACAAATAAAACCAATCCTGGAAACACAAAATATCTTGAACCAGATGCCATATTTCAACACACTAAAGAACACTGTCTGATGGGAATCAAAGGCACTGTAAGGAGAAGCACTGATGGAGACTTTATTCATGCAAATGTTGATATTGACCTCATTATCACTGAAGAGGTAAATTATTGTTATCTATGTTTAATTAGTAGTTATTTATTTGTTTATTTTTTGTGTTATTATTATTGATACCAGCTATGTGTAAGCCTTATAGAGGTACAGATAAAGAAAGCCTGAAAAAAATTAGCTTTTTGGCGTGATTAAATGCTGTGACTTTGAAGATGCCAGCATAATCATTTATTGCAAAACGAGCATTACTGCACCTTTCAATAACATGCGGACTCTAAAATTCAAGGCTCAACTGACAAATGCATTTTACGCTACCATTAATCAAATGTTTGGTGGCTCCTCCCAACTACTGACTTCTGCCGAGTGTGCGGTAATCAAATCATTGAGCACAGTTCAGAAAACGAAACAGTGCTCGGCAGTAGTCAGGAGCTGGGTGGAACCGCCGAACATTTTGATTGATGGTAGTGAAAAACGCATTTGTTGGTTGAGATTTGAATTTTAGAGTCTGCATGTTATTGAAAGGTGCAGTAAGTTAATAATGGGCCAGTTCAGATATATTGAAATTATAACTTGGCTCCGAAGATTAGGGGAGTAAAGTAAAGAAATTAATTCATCTCTCAACCTCAAATCAATTTCTTTTGTGTATTCTCCTAAACCTCGGAGCTAAGTTAGGATTTTAATACAGTCGAACCCCTATTAACTGTATATCAAAATTGGCCTAATGTCAAGTAGAGGAATACAGTAAACACCTGCATATTAGAACAACTGGATTTAGAACATCAAGCTGAAATTTGGCCCATAAAGCACCATTTATATAAGAACCAGTTCAGCCTGATAAATACAACATGTTCTTGTGTAATAAGGGAGAGGGTGTTGAAATAAGAAAGCAATACATGTAGCTATGGTTGCTGCTATACAATGGTGGCCCGGTTGAGTTAGCATGACTGTAAGAAATATATAAAAAATGTTCATTTCTACTTGTTAATGTTAACTTGTTTACTACCTGACAGAATTTTATTTTATTCATTGATTTACTGATTTGTTTACTTACTTATTTATTTATAATAAAATATACTAACTAAACCTCTAATAACATGTTACGTCTAGTATTTCTGAAACAAAGTTTAAGAACATATTAAGAACATCTTCAGGCTGATTTCTCACTAAGCAGCCAATAAATTAGAACTAGATCAGCCTGAACCCCAAGATTATGTGTTCTTATATGCGGGTGTTTACCATACATGTAAACAATCAGTATTGTTGTCAAATGGATCTGACATGGTCTTATTTGGTGGTTTATTCGTCTCTCAGAAATGACCACACAAGGTCTCCGAGATATAAACAATCTGAATGGGCTGTTGCAGAGGTTTGGATCTTGACAACTAGTACTCCACATTATAAGTAGTGAGTCTGTGATGTACTTTTTTCCCCCAATTTGCAGCCAGCACTAGGAAGCACGGAGAAGCCAACTGAAATATTTCATATTATGGAGCACTTCTGTCTAGGACGACGTCGCCTTCACTTGTTTGGCAGTGATGATACCCTGAGACCAGGTAACAATTTAAATTTGAATTTGAAATTTTACTTCAGGACAGCAATGTAATAATCTTCTTTAGCACAATTATGCGGCCAAAATCCAACAGCATTGGCCTCATATTGGTTTCTCAAAGATATTTCTCCATGCAGCCATGTTACAGATTTTAAATTGTTGATTGTTTTCTGGTTTCTTCAAGGTTGGCTTTCAGTAGGACCAAGTCTGTCAAGTTCAAACTTCTCTGCCGATCTATACAATTCCTACTTTTCCAATGGACCTGAAGACCTTATCGTTGGCAGCACACAAGAAATTGAGACTCTTAGACCAAAATCTCCCACAGGAAAACACAAAGGAGATGGTGGAGGACGTGGGGGTGCAAATGCAGCCAGTCGTGGGGGCCCAGGTCCTAGAGCAAGGGGAGGAGTTCGTGGGGGGATGATGAGAGGGGCAGGGTTTCAAGGGAGGGNCTTGCCTATCAGGCCAGTGAGAATGAAAAGTTACTTGCCCAGAAGGAAAATCTACTTGTCCTAGACAACCGGATGGAACTTTTTTTGAGCCCTGAATAAGAGCAGTGTTTTCTGTTGAAGTGTCTCATCACTCCATTGTCAGAGCAAATTGCTTTATTGGAAACTTACCCCTGAGACAAATCTGTCAGCTGTTTGGATGGAAGGCACCTCTTCAAGAGGAGGAGCTGTTAGAGGTGAACTATAGGACAAAAAGTATGACATCCTTTAAAAGGATTACCTTTACAAGGAAATGCCAGCAATCATGGCTAATGAGGGAATGAACAAAGGAAGAAAGGATGGAAGGAGGGAACAAACGATCGAACGAACGAATTAACAAATGAATGCATAAATGCATGGCAGGAATAGCTGATGGCTGGAAAGATGGGTGGATGTACAGACAATGCAAACAACTGAATCAAGCCATGGACAGATAGATGGAAGGACAGATGTATTCATAGATGACACAACATATGAAAAATAAGCTACACAAAATCGCCCAATGGTAGAGAGTCACATGCATACTTACTCAGGGAAAAGTAAAGGAGAATCATCAAATCCAACAAGACCATCTTCAGTATCACTCAGTCCATCCTTACTGCCACCTTCAACAACCATGTCAGAACTAGCGGTGGATGTTGCTGATGTACAAGCTGTGTTTGACGCACTTCCTCTACAAAATAAATCAGTTCTAATGTGTTCAGTCTGGATGAAGACTTAAAATCTGTAAAGTTACAGTTTATACATGTAGCTAGTTATTGCTACTTCTACAGAAAACACTGTAAGTGAACTGTGCAAGTTTCCGGGAAAATTATTCGTGGGTAGCCATTACCACTATCATCTCTAATTTTGGGTGAGTGGAAATAGACAATGCAATAGTCTAATATATCAGAATGATGCTAATTAAAAAAAAAAGAAAGAAAGAAATACTGTTTAGTACTTAAACCTTAGTTTACAAATTATTATAACAAGTTTTTCTCTATGATATATGAGTGTTTTAAACAACGATACGACCTTTACAGGGTAACAAGTCGCAAAGTTCTGAAGTTGGTGGCTTTATTGTAGGAGTTAGCAGCTGATTTTGTCATCTTTTTCTAAACAATGTACAGTTCCAGAAAATATCCATACTCCCCCCAGCTGATTGCTGTTCATTTTTTGTATGTTGGTTCTGAGAGTATAGTTGCACATAATGACAGCATTAAATAGTCCAGTTGATGACTTCCTTCACTGTTAAATTAAATAAAATATCATCTTCAATTTATTATTGCACTGAAATTTTGTTCATGTATTTATCCTTACCGTCTATTCTCAGCAGCATCTGCCAAAAGAGCTCTTTTCTTCTTTATTTCATCTTCTTGGACATTAAAGCTGTCTTGTGGAGATGCACCGTGTTGCATCTTTTGCTGTGAACAGTTTTCTTTCTTATCTTGTAAACACCAAAAAGAAATAAAATATGGTTTAGTAAAGAAGACAGCATGTGATGTGCAAGAGTATCATAAATAAACAAATCTTATTTGAGTCTCACTCACAGATGACTCTATCCTAATTTGGAAAATCAACACCTAAAAGGATAATGAAATCTCAAGAAGTATGATAAATCATTATTGTCCAGTTCTAAGCAAAAGCACATCCAAATACTTATGACCAATCAGTTATCATCATTTCACCCATTCTGATGCGAATACTAACAGGAGCAGTTTATGTGTTCTGCCTGTGTAACTGGACAGTACAAGTAATTGGCTGTTCTTTTTTTTTTTTTTTTTTTTTACTATATTTGGGTTCGTAGCCTAATTTGGTCCTGATATGTTCTACACATTAAATCAGAAAAAATGTTGATTTGAAGTTTAGAATCCTCTTTATACCTTGAGGTGGTAGAGACTATTAGTTTGCTTGGACAATGAGGTTTTTGCCTGGAAACAGGCATTTGTAGCACTCAATTAATCGTTTGTGACGTTTAAAAGTCTAGAAGTCAAGGAGTTTATAGTAAGGTAAAAAGATCCAGCAATGTTCTCAAATGAAAATGTTTGTTCCCTCAAAACAGGAAAAGTACATGTCTTTCTTAGTTTCACTACTGAATTAAGCTTGATCAAGGCTGTGGTCTAAGAAAAACTGAGAGGACGCCAAAGGCTCCTGACCATGAAATCGTGGATACCCAGCACTAAAGCTTGTATGAATAACGTAAGTTTTTCCTGTTGCCTAAAGGCAAAAGTTAATCACCACTGGCACCTGGGCACCTCTAAAGCTCAGCCCTGTTAATGGATTTGCATTTTTCATCAAAATGTTTGGCAGTTTCTTGGTTTTGAGTGATTTTCACGGTGCTTTTTCTGTTTTCTTACAAATGATAAGTGGTTTTCTGGTTTGTAGAGGGTCCCAATGTCCCCTTCATTCAAGGCAAATCTGTGTGACATTCAAGCAAAAAGAATAATCAGCTGCTTGATATTTCCCCTATATACTAGTGTACAACAATAATCTTTCCACTTAGTTTCAGAAGGTTATAAGCTTCAGGTGTCTTGTGCTGTTGGAAACATCCGCCCAGAATCATGAAAAAGTACAAAATTAAGTGTCATTTTAATTGCAACCAACACTCATAAAGGGTTAACCAACACAATTATCCAGCTGATAACTGCTGTCACAAACAAAACGTTCGTTCGTTCGATTAATCTGTAACATAGGTTTTGCACGTTGATATAAGCTTACATGATATAAGCCTTATCCTCTAATTCTTACGATCAATTACTGCATTTGACAGCAGTAACAGTTAACATAGAACTTACCAAGAAGATTCCATTACTTTTCAGTCACAATCGGCGGTACGAACTTTAATAGAAAGCGATATTGTTTTTAACTCATTAATCATTCATTTTGTCCTGTCGCAGCACCGTCCCGACACGTTTGAGAGTGTACATGTTCGGAAACAGCCCCAATCTGGTTCGTCTTAAAACAACTCTGATGGCTATTCAGATGATTCTAGCCATGACTGGGAACTTAAATACAAGAATTTACATTGATAACAACCTGTCTTAACACTTTGACGTCTTAAAAACAATTTGCTAACTAAAGTCAAGATCTACCTGGGAGGTGAGGGGACACCTTCGACTTCGGGCTTGATTGGTGTCGTTTGAAACTCTCTTCAATGCTGCTTTGTTTGAGCCTTTTCCGTTTAGGTTCCTCACCAAACCTCGCATTCATTATTTATATTAAAGCTTAAATACATGAAGAATAAAAATCATGTGAATTGGTTCACTGTCAAAGTATATTTGTACATCAATCTCCGATCTTCTGCAATCTGTCTTTCGGCCATCGAGCCGACTTGGCCTGGATGCCAAGTTCCCGCCAGAAAGGCCTGGTGACATAGCTTCATGGTTACAAAGCTCAAAAATGGCGGTCCTCTAAGCACGTTTAGCTGTGAAAACATGGGTGACAGATTAAAACAGATCAAAGAAAAGTCGAAACTTCGGCGTCAAATTCTTGCACAACAGGTAAAAATGCTTACAGTGACATTATGAGGCAGCAGATGAACATTCTCCAGTGTTTGAACGAAAATTATGCCGCGAACTCATCAACAATATATTATTTTGCAAATATTTTAAGGATTATTTCATTGTGAGTTTATGTTCCCGGGGTCATGTTATGACTTATAAATTGTGCTGGCAACTTCTAGTCATGTATGATTATCTTTGTTGTCGTATATTTGCTAACAAGTTATGTAAGTTTTGAGTCATATACTAGTAAAAGTCATCTAAATGTACATACCACAAGAGAGTTGACACAGGTGTGTTCTTTGAGTAATTGGCTCACAAGCGGTAAATTAAGTATTGAGTGCATAGAGAATTAAAGTTTCATTTCGTTATTCAGCTTGGTGCATCAGGAAGTGATGCTATTGGAGACCTTTTAACTAGTAAAGAAGAACAAGAAGTTAAAAGATTAAAATTAACAAAGGAGAAGCAGAATATAGACCAGCATGGAAGTAACACAAACATCAGTACAGCAACAGAGGTAGCATTACCTGGTATCCCTGCAGGACCAACTAAGGTTGGTATTGGTATAGGTTACTAAACCACAGGAACACCAAGATTCATTGTTAGGGGTTAGGGGCCAAACAGTTAGGGGCTAATTGACTTGGGAGCTAAACATCCAGTTACCCAATGATTGATATTTTGCCGTTTATGGAATTCTTGTATTTCAATTTTAGCTAACTACAGTACATGTACTCAAAAATTTTAGTCATTAGCTATTCAAGTTATATTAGTAAAATAAATATAATTTGTGGTTCAATATTACCTTAATTAGTATATTTTGTATTTTGCTTTGTTTCAGATACATTACTTTTCATATAAATTATTCACCATACACCAAAACACGGGAAAATATCAAATTGCACCAATAATGATGTGCAGGGTGTAAAGAAAACCAATATTTGGGCTTGCCCTTTGGGAAAGCTTTAACTATGATGTACTAACCTGAAAATCAATCTCACTAGTCTGGTCCCCAAAAAGTTCATCTCTTACAATACTTCAGTCTGTTACTTGCACTTCCTCCAAAATTTTCTCAAGAAATTTCAAATGTCCCTTGGGCAAGTGATGAACATAATCCACTAGCCCAAACAGAAAATGTATAAACCCCAGGCTACAATATATATGGCAGCACTTTCTTTCCACACTATATGTTTTTCTTTTCTTTTTGTTTTGAGGTTTTCTACAATTAATACTGATCATGCCATTAGCACATTATACTGTATATATTATGGAACTTTGTCCTTTAAAATTACAACTTGCTTCCAGGTGCTGACATCACGAGAGGAGAAAAAAGAAGGAAAAAGTTCTTCCCAAGGGGATGGTCAGAACCCAGACAAAGTAAGCTTGACTTGTATNTATTCCTTCGATTAATTGTAAATTTGAGTCTTCTGAGAATGTGTTGTTCGGTAGTATCAACAGGATACTTCCCATATGATCATTTTCTTTATTTCTTCCCATTACATTTTTTCTGTTTCCTTAAAAATGTAAACTGAAGATACTGCTAAGTATCGTAAGGAGATCTTTTAAGGACAAATAAAACCTTGCCATCAGTTCTCAGCTCCTTGACAGATTTTAATCATTCCAATTCTTTGTTGTTTTCAGGTATCTTCAATGTGACCTTGACATGTTTGATCTGGATGAGTTGGAATGTAAGTTTGACGTGGTGTATATTGACCCACCCCTTGAGGAATATCAGCGTCGTGCATCAGGCACCATCTTCAGCTGGAAACCATGGACTTGGGATGAGGTCAGTTCCAGTAAATTTTCCTTCAATGTACATGATGTACTTTTCAAGGGAAAATATGTGAATGTTGTATGCAAAATGAAAGTTGAATGCAAAATGAAAGTTGTATGTCCTACAACCATGTTGTGGTTAAATATTATAAAAAAATTACTTATTACTCTACAGATTCTAAAACTGGAGGTAGAAAAAGTTGCAGCCCAACGTTCATTCCTGTTTCTTTGGTGTGGCTCACACGAAGGGCTTAATGAAGGGAGAAAGGTATAATTTACATAGACTGAATTTCAACCATCTCCTCAGGTCAGTCACTCACTTTCTGTTGGAGGGTGCTACTCAATGAGAAATTCACTGGCTATTGGTAGTGAAAATGCAAAATTAGTAATGAAAAAGTCATTAGTGTACTTTAAGAAGAGAATTTTTTGTGAACAATGATTAACAGTCATGTATAAATAAAATTTAATTTTCTCAATTTAATTACACAGATGATCAAAAAAGGAAACAATAAATGATATCTACAAAATTTAGTTTTTACAGAAAACTAAATGTTCCTTAGTGAATAAGTAAGGAATTACCTCTCATCCCTGGAGTTGTTTCAAAATCTTCTGTGCTGAAGGGAACTTGCATAGTGATATGTTTACTTCTTAACTGCACTTCATGCCGTTAACTTCTTTTCCCGTGAATAGTGTTTAAAGAAGTGGGGCTTTCGTCGTTGTGAGGACATTTGCTGGATCAAAACAAATAAAACCAATCCTGGAAACACAAAATATCTTGAACCAGATGCCATATTTCAACACACTAAAGAACACTGTCTGATGGGAATCAAAGGCACTGTAAGGAGAAGCACTGATGGAGACTTTATTCATGCAAATGTTGATATTGACCTCATTATCACTGAAGAGGTAAATTATTGTTATCTATGTTTNAGACCAGGTAACAATTTAAATTTGAATTTGAAATTTTACTTCAGGACAGCAATGTAATAATCTTCTTTAGCACAATTATGCGGCCAAAATCCAACAGCATTGGCCTCATATTGGTTTCTCAAAGATATTTCTCCATGCAGCCATGTTACAGATTTTAAATTGTTGATTGTTTTCTGGTTTCTTCAAGGTTGGCTTTCAGTAGGACCAAGTCTGTCAAGTTCAAACTTCTCTGCCGATCTATACAATTCCTACTTTTCCAATGGACCTGAAGACCTTATCGTTGGCAGCACACAAGAAATTGAGACTCTTAGACCAAAATCTCCCACAGGAAAACACAAAGGAGATGGTGGAGGACGTGGGGGTGCAAATGCAGCCAGTCGTGGGGGCCCAGGTCCTAGAGCAAGGGGAGGAGTTCGTGGGGGGATGATGAGAGGGGCAGGGTTTCAAGGGAGGGGAGGAAGGGGTTTTGTAAGCTTCTCTGTGAGATAGTCAGGATCAAAAATTACCAAAACAATGATTTTGATAAGAAAAACCATGATTGTGTTTTGCTACAGTATCATCAAGTTAGTTAGAATGTGGTCATTATCATACAGCAACACAAAGTTTGTACTTTTTGCCTTCGTGTCGTTTACTCTTACAGAGTGCTTGCCTTTAAATTTTAGTTTTCTTTGAGAAGATGGAACAATATATATATACTTCTTGAACTTGAACAGAATAAATTTACAGAGCGCTTGACTCTGAGAGTAGCAGTGTAGATAATAAACAACGGTAGCAAGACTTCAATTCATCGTTTTATTGTGACAACGCTGTTTCGTATGGTCAAAGGATGACGACACTCATCAGGCANAAATAAGAATAAAAAAATGAAACAGTTGCTATGGGATTTAAAATCTGAAATCTCGTGTTGCTAAAAGATTGCATTACTTGCTCACAAAGATATATATATATATATTTAGCTTTTTTCTCAAGTAAACAGAAGTAAAGGTGTTTTTGTTAGAACCTTGACTAATTTCCTTTCTTTGAAGCATTACTCAAGTCTTGGACATTTATGACTGCACTACTCAAATATTACAATATTTAATGGTATCGTCATTAGTGATTTTCTGAGAACCGGTAGAAAATGTTTGAAAAAGGTAATTTAAAAGCCTCAAAGGGTATGTCTAGATCTTCTTTTCCGAATAGTGAAAAAATACTGAGTGTTTGATTTTACTTCTAGAGTAACTGGCTTTTCCTTGAAAAAATTAATGGTTAGCACACCTTGTCTTGAAGAATAATATTGAATAAGAGTTGGTCAGTAGCACATCCTATCATGGTTCGTTGCTGATGTAAAGTGTGATGCTTTAGAAGTGTTTTTACTGTTTTCTAATTGGACTATTTGGATAAATGAATTGTGATACTTGTACAACAATATTCTGAAACTTGTTTTAAAAACTGATTTGTAATTTTATCCAATAGAAATCATATCAGATCTTAATTAACAAAGATTTTTATAATGTTATTATTAATTTTGTCTACCTCCTCAGTTTTTGTTTCAATTGAGATTACAATATCCAATACAGGACCATTTTGGAATAAGGTGTATTGTGCAGTTCTCTGTAGTGTTATCTAATCAGCCCTTCTCATTGCTCTCATCTTCACTTCACCTCTAATGGACTTCCTACATTGCTGAGTATTTTGTACACACTCTCTTGTAGTAAGAATAACATTTTTAACTGATTTGATTGGGTAACTTCACTGTGCTGCATTTTCAAAAGATACACTTCACAGTAAATTAAAATAAAACTGATATGCTTAGACTGAAACTGATTGTATCCCTGTGTTTTTTTATTGTTCCATAATACAATTAACATTATATTTTCAATCCAGTGTCACTGTGCAGAAACAAATTGATTTTAGAAAGGTTTGGGAAGCTGGAAGATATAATTTATCTTGAAGAAGATGATTAGAGACTCGTACAGGTAGAAAATAGCCTTTTTTATTGCGTCTTGTGGCTGGTATATAACAATTGTTATATACTTTACTAAAGACATTAATGGAATTAACTTTCCACAGATTTGCTTTGCTGTAAAATTGAAACATTTGCATAAACTTAAGATGTAATATTAGTCACAGCTCTTAACTCACATTGTTGTTGTCAATGATTAACAACATAATTTATGTATCGCAAGTAACAACTGGTATAAAGATGTGATATCGCTTACAGTGAATCTGCTTGACTATAGCAAAGAAGTATTCAAGCCTTCAATTCAAATTAATAAATTATGCTATGTCATAGACAATACAGCCAATCAGAAAACAGGAAAGCCGTTGAATGCTTGATGGTATTACACCCTTCCCATCATTCCTTGCACTTATTGTGCCACTGTATTCTTTGTGGCATGGTATAAAATAGATATGCAATACTTTTGAGTGGTCTACCATGGATTATTATATGGCTAGCTCCATGAGCAGGCAAGATGAATCAAATCCTGCACTGTGATTGGCTACCCGAGCGGGCAAGATGGAGCTATCTTGCCCACTTAGGACTACCCACCGTGTCCCGCAAGAAAAATTTCTGCAAAAGCCATATAATAAATCCTTTATTGACCAAGCTTGTTCAGACAAGATGGCTGCATATTGACCTCATTCTTTTTTTGCGAGTTTATGGACCTCGACTCCATCTTGAGTTTATAAACACGCAAAAAAAGAACTTGGCCAACATCCAGCCATCTTGACTGAACGAGCCTGGTCAATAAGCCATACATATCCCATTTGTGTTTGCTTGGTATATACACTTGCCTAAGGTCATGTGCATACCAATACAAGTGACTTGTGGGTTATTCCATGGTATACCACTTGAAAGAGTGAGCAACTACCAGTAATGTACTTCTCCAAAAAGCCACTTCATCCAGCAATGACTGTAAAAAATTATGGCAACAAACTTGCCCAAAAAACTGCACTTAGAATCCACTAGCCCCCCTCCAAAATCCACTAACCCTGGCTACCAGGAAGGACTTTCTTTCCATGCTGCTAGTAACAGAATAAATCTACCCCTGGACTGTGTTGGAGAAAGGCTTCTGAGCTTCTGAGGTGCCAAGTTAAAATTACTACCTTCTAGCTACAGAACCAATACTCTTATGTGTACATCGAATATTAAACTTTAAAAAAATAATCCCATTCTTGACAAAATCAGTGCACACTGCCACTGCTCATGAATGGAGGTGGTCGGTCATGCCTTGGTGTCCCTGGAAGACAAGATTATAAATCCAGATTAACAGTCTGTGTCAAATAGCTACTTAAAACTATTTGTTTTGAAATCCTTCTTGTTTCTTACATGGGGATTTGCCAGACATAGAGACACGAGGTTGTGAGAAGATAGTGAGAAAAAAAAATCAGTTTTATAAATAATAATTATCCTAAGCGTCTGGTGAAAGAGTAATGTGGATGAATTATGATGAAAATATGGTACAGTAACATTAAGTCTTCAGTTCAGTCCTCGGCAAATGAATATATTCCTTGAAGTGTTAAATCATTAAAAATGTGTGTGAGCCGTGTTACTGACATGTAAATGGCAGGAGTGGAAAACAGGTAGAACATAAAAATGCCAAGTAATTAAATGTGGCAAGTTAACTATTAGTCTGTACATGTAAATTCCTTCAAAAAAGTAATTTTCTGTTAATGTAAGTTCAACTTACAGTAATTTTAGAGTTGCAAACATTGACACTTGACTCCAGTTTTCATAGCACGACATAGCTGAATTATTTTGTAGTAATTTCGTTTTTCGATGTGCAGGATAATTCATGCATTCCAAATAATAAGTCAACTTTAAATTTATCTTGAGTTTTTCTTCCAAGAATAGAGAGTTTCTTTTTAAGCATGATGTCTACAGCAAATGGAAAAAAGGCAAATTACCTCTGATTTTGTGTTCTTTTCTTTTAATTCTTAATTAAATAACACACAAATAGAAAAACCTCTTCTACTATTCACTGCAAATACCGTGCAAATATTTTGAAACTACTGTACAAACAGCTGACAAGATAGCAAAAGTTCTATTTTTTGCCATTTCCTGTTGCAAACGTCATGCTCAAACTCTCTTAGCTGGTAAAATAATATTGTTCGCAGACTTGTTAATCGCAGAGTGCTTGGAGAGTGACAGGGCTAAATGGGAGATTTATTTCTATCTTTGGCTGCTCTGTTTACCAGTCCAAGTCAAGCGTGTAGCTCCAACAAGACATGCTATTTTCCATGTTCCACTAGGCAAAATGAACCATACGCCATGTGGAACAATGCTGCCCTCAATACTGTCAGCACAACATAAACATCCAGACATCAGAAATCTCAATGGGACGTAATTAGCATGTCTGCCTTGTACTTCACCAGCAATTAACAGCAATAATTAATTTATTCGACTAATAACCTCTGAACATAATTTACAGTTCAAATGGTGGTGTGTTAGTGTTCAGAAATGAATGAAATGTTAGAAAGGGTTATATTTTGAGAATGAATTAAACAGCTTATCAATTATAATAAAGATGCCAGTAGGGAGGTACTGTTCAATGCGAATGTCAAATGAGTTGTTGTTCATTTATTTCAAAAACACAAAACACTTTCTGCTCAGGTGTGAGCAGATCATGCCTCCAGGGAACTTGTCAAACCTGTTTTCCACTCTGCTCTTCTTGCAGTTATCAAATCAAAAAATCTTACTCACAAAGGCACCAAGTCTTCAGTCACCTTGAGCAGAGCCTGGGTAATATTGGTTGTTTCCGTGAGGTGATGACACATTCACACCAGGTTGAGGAGGCAGTCGGTATGGAGGGGGTGCTCCCAGGGGGGGTTCGGGTTCATATTCCTGCTGACTTGGGGAAGGATTCCTAATGAGTGAAGAATAATGTATTTATCAGAAGAAGGAGTTAAAAGAAAAATATGTGTTTAGTTCCAGTTGCAGGGAAGCACACCTTGTCAGGGCCACACAGCCAGTAGTAACAGGCAAACCAGGGCACCTGCCTTGGTACAAGAAGTTACAGTTTTTTTCTGTATTTCTTCATTACAGTATTTCAGGATCCTCTACGAGGCTATGTGTTAAAAAGATTAGCAGATATGAAAAAAACATTGTGTTAATGCCTTGGTAAGAATTTCTGTGTGGCTAAGACCCAGTTTGTAAAAATTGGCCAATTGTTCAAGTATACAAGTTTCGAGTGTTCAATTTTCTTGCAGCGAACAAGTGAGATATAAAGTTCAACACAAGAAGAGATATTCCATACCTTCAAGCAACCTTGACTTGTATTATTTTGTTTATTGTAGAAACATACTGACAACGACGTTTTTGATGATTTTACGAAGACTTCTGACCACTTTCCGAAGATTTCCACATGCCACATGAACATTTCCAAACATTTGCCGAAAATTTCCAAGGATTACTGAAAATTTCTGAAGGTAACCAAAGACTGCTGAAGACTTTTGAGGAAGATCCAAAGATATTTCAATCATACACCACCAAATTTAAGTATGGTTTAAGCATCAAACATGATACCTATCAGTAGTGAGGATATGGAAAATATGCCACCTGAGTCCCAGATGTGGTTTCGTATGAATTTTACAGGTGGTGTATTTTCCAGTAGAACACTTGTGTCTGTAATAAAAGCTACAATGTCATCTGGCTTCACAAACTGGTACTTACTGCTTATAGGGTGTGGAAGTTTCTTTAGGCTCAGGATGATGGGCTGGGCCATCATGAGTAGTATCTCCATTCTGATGTGACAGCTGACGAAGTCGGAAAGTTGCCCGTAATATGGAGTCATGGTGTGACAGCTGCTGCCTACAAGTGATACAGGGCCTTTCATTTAATTTAAACCTTGGATTGTATATTTTTTGGTCCAAGTGAGTAATAACTATCAGGGCACATAAAGCAAAGTTGGGATAACATGAAAACAAGAGGTGACAAAAGTTCAGCTTAACTATGTGCACTCTGACAGTGACTATCACACACAGACTCACACATGTCACATAAATTAAAGCTTTAGATCAACTCTCAATAAATTTACTATTATTGATGATTGACGCACCGCTACACCTATACAATGAAATACAGTTGAACCCNTTCTTTAGGCTCAGGACGATGGGCTGGGCCATCATGAGTAGTATCTCCATTCTGATGTGACAGCTGACGAAGTCGGAAAGTTGCCCGTAATATGGAGTCATGGTGTGACAGCTGCTGCCTGCAAGTGATACAGGGACTTTCATTTAATTTAAACCTTGGATTGTATATTTTTTGGTCCAAGTGCGTAATAACTATCAGGGCACATAAAGCAAAGTTGGGATAACATGAAAACAAGAGGTGACAAAAGTTCAGGTTAACTATGTGCACTCTGACAGTGACTATCGCACACAGACTCACACATGTCACATAAATTAAAGCTTTAGATCAATTCTCAATAAATTTACTATTATTGATGATTGACGCACCGCTACACCTATACAATGAAATACAGTTGAACCCCTATTAAGTGGCCACCTATTAAACGGCCAACCCTAACAGGCGACCAGTAATCAAAGTCCTGATGGGGGCTTTTCTATTGTTGTTACCTCTATTAAATGGTCAACCCCTTTTAGACGGCCACTATCCATTTCCCTGAGGGTGGCCATTTAATAGGGGTTGAACTGTACTTCTACTTCTGACTAACCTTGCAGTCTCTGCATCCCTCTTTGGCCTAAAAATGCAAATTAAAGTTATTTAGTAAAATTATCATGTAAACACACCACACAAAGACATAATTGAATTAAATTGTGAACCACTAGCTTCCAATTTAAATTTTCAAATCTAAATGTTGTGCAAATATTCACGCCACAAATTCCAAGTCTATGGTTGGCCATTCGTTTCAAAATTACAACAGAGTATACGCGGGTTTTTCTGCCGCGTATACTTGTTTACATATGTTACGTATGGGCTTTAAGCTCATATATACGACCATTTAGATTGCGTTTATACGCATTTTTAAAGGGCCACATATTTGCATAAATTCAAGCGTGGGGATATGTGAAATAAATGCCCAAATATACGCGTCCTACAAGGACCCATATATACGCATGCTAAAATGCGTGTATATGCGGGTCTCGTAAATGACGTTTTATATGCCAGCACGAAATGTGCCTTTTAAGAGAATGGCTGTTCGTGTATGATGGCAATGAAAATTACTTTAACTAGGAATTGTCAATATGGCAGCAGTGGTAAAATGCCTTGTCGGACTATCTGCTATTAAATTTTCGTTACGGCAGCTCTCCAGTGAATGAACTTCTAGAAACTGTTATGCGTGTTTTGAATGACTGTTCAAGATTTTATCCTAACGCTAATCGTCGTGAAGTTGTGGATTGCTCTGTACATCGTTTAGTGGCCTGCATAGCTTGGCGGTTTTTAGGCAATTTGAACGTGCTAAGAAAGCCGTGAAGCCGCGATAACGAGCGCCAAATGCGGCGTAGCCACAAGGAGCCTGGGGGGTTCCTGCT